TGTTTTCATGTTTTTGGCTCTCTGCTCCTGGGAGATAATTATCTTACCGGTCTTTAACTCAAATATCTTCCAGGCCCAGAAATTCCAGGGAGGGGCTTGCATTGTATTGTTTGGAGACCCTCTGCTGGGGTCTGTGCAAAAAACCGAGACCGAGTTTGGCTCATTAAAAGCAGAACAAGTATTTACATTTTGGTCTGGAATTATGTTATTTTACCTAAATATATGTGTCCTTTTGGTATTGCCTTTTTAAATTTTAATGTTATCAATTACTTATGAATCTGCACACTTTAGCATAACTAAAGACTCTACAATTAGTGTGTGTGTTTAAGTACTCAATATGCAGAGATCGCGATATGCAAACGAGGCATTAACAAGCACACAAATTAGAACAGTTGAATAAGGATGATCATGCCCTTAAACACTCTCTTCCAAGATTGTGGTAATAGCTCTACGTCCTGAGGAAGCCAGCTGGGCCCGGCGAAATGCGTTGACGTCATATGTGGAGGTCGGAGCATTAAGAATACTGCCCGAAAACGGCTGGAGCTGATCTATAGCAGTAATAACTACACAGCTGCCTCGAGACACCCGCCAGAACCCCCTACCAGATGCACTTTGTTTACCTAGCTTGGCAGTGAGTAACGGCGTATGCTGCAAATACTCACAACATTATCTTTGATAAAATAAATTGATTGTGCACTTTAAAATTTTAAACATTGGATTGTTTTAATCAACATCTATATACATTATATTGGCACATCATTAGGCTCATTTATGTTGAACTTTAATGCATACATTATATATTCATACAGTCTATACCATCATCTGTACCTATGTTTTGTTTTTTCTATCCACGCGATGAGAGTTCTATGCCGGTGATAGCTGCTGATCTATAAGTATAACTATAACCTAATCAAAGCTACTTTGGCTCCTTTGTGGTCTCCTCACCTAAACACCGTTTTTTGACACTGTGAAAAGGTTTTTCTGTCATTTCACTGTTCCACTTACTTACACTTTGGGTCTCATTAAAATCAGTTGTACTCCCAGAACTATGTGTCATCTAGTTACTGGGAGGGGAAAGGGCTAATCACTGCTCAGCACCATGTTCCAGCTAGTGGAGTATTCAGCAGGGAAAGTCCTTGTAAGGACTACAGCTCCCAGGACTGTGTGTTGTCCAGTCCCTGAGAGGGAACAGAGCTTGTCCCCTATCCTGTTCCAGGACAGAGAGGCCTCAGGAGGAACCCAGTCAAGCCAAGACTGGGGCAGAAGTGCTGAGGTTTTCCCGGGTTTCAGCTAGGAAGCGGTCCTTGGCAGAGGAACCCAGCCGGGGTACAGGGAGTTCTGCTATATAAAACACTTGCTAATACTAGTTGCACGTATACATTCAAACAAAAGATTAATTCAGGATTATACAAGATTACTTTACAGGTAAAATATCAAGGATTGAGCACAGTCTATCCCTTAAAAAGGTTACCATTCTGAGTTTCCCACAATAAGCTACAGAACAGTTGCTAAGAATGTACACCACTCTCTGACCAGAAGAACTTCTTATAATCACTAATGTAAAATCGATATTCTGAAAATGGCATCAATTTCCAGACCCCCTCCAGAGACCTCAATGGCAAAGAGGTGCAGACACCTGCCTATGAGCAAATTCCTGATACAAAAGTGAATATACAAAAATAACTCCTGCACTCAAACTCCCACTACTCCTGGGCAGCAGCAATGATCATAGCACATATCAGCCCCAATAAATATAAGCCAAAGGAAAAGAAAAAAGAATTAGCTGTGCACTAGCCCAAAATCCATATGCATATTTAAATAAATGGAGGTTGTTTAGTTTAAATAAATGTCCCTTAGGTGCAAGCCCACCTGCCACATCTTAGGTGGGTCCTACACTAACAATTCAGCTGGCTTACTTCAACTTCAGGCAAATAAATGTCTAATGAGACAGAGAGGGGTATTTTTCTAAACCCCTACATACTTATTAACCCTAAATAGGGAACACATGGGGTGAGTGGCAGCATTGTAACATAGCTGTGTGATAAACAAAGGAAATACAAATACACAAAAAAAAGTTTAGAAAAATACCCCTCTCTGTCTCATTAGAGATATCTTTGCCTAAAGCTGAATGAAGCAAGGTGAATTGTTAGTGTAGGACCCACCTAAGAGGTTTGACTTGATGTGGCAGGTGGGTGTGCATCTAATGGCCATTGGAGTTACTAAATAACCTCCATTTATTTAAATATGCATAGGAAATCTGAATGGTGCTCAAGTAACTTTTTTCTTTGGCTTTTTTTTGTACATATTAGAGCTGATGTGCAGACATCCCAACTTGCAAAAAATAATTTCAGGGGGGAGGTTATTTCCCCAGCAACTCCCCCTCACCCCCTGGTAGCCGTAGCCACCAACAAACATATATAAACAAGGACATGACATTTTATTATGACAGAACACAAATATTTGTTTAACATACAGCAACTACTTACACACTATACACTGACACATGCATACACATTGACACACTGGCATAAACACACACTGACACACAGATACAGTATCTACAAAGGCTAGGGGGGCAATTCTGTAGCTGCAGCATTCATGATTGGTGTATGTTTTATACTCTGCTAACACATTTCTGGCGATTTCTTTACCAGGACTCATTGCTATTGAAATCTAATTCATTTTGTCTCACCAGTGCCATTTTTGAGGGCAGGTTATGGCATTCCCCAACCCAACCCAAACAGTGAAAGTCCCATAGAGGGGAAGTACCTGCAAAGAAGCTGTAGGGGATCCATGGGCTATGATCCCACCAGCCCTACCACTGCCAGGTTTAACCAGGGATGCCTGGTTCCCCGTGGTGCTCTTACAGCTCATCCTAGATGAGCACCCTGTCCCTGGACACCCTGCACTCACTGACAGCAATCAGGGAGCTCAGGCACATGATCAGCACAGCTGCTGTGCACAGAGTGGCTGCTGCCAGGTAGCCGAACAAGCCACACACTGAGCAGAGCTTTACTGCCGCACACTGTGTACCGGGATGATTCAGGGAGAGGAGACAGGACCAAGGGTTCACTACAGCGCCACCTGCAGGCTTGGTAGGTAATTATTATGTTTCTAAATACAGGTAAATTACCTGATAGATTCAAACGATTACTGGGATATTGGATTTATTTGCAGGCGTCAGGGAGCCTCTATTAAAAAGCTGGAGAGTTGGGATGTCTGGATGTGTACTATGGTCATTGCTGCCACCCAGGAGTAGTGGGAGTCTGAGCACATGAATTATTTTTGTGTATTTGGATTTAGGATAGTGCACATGTAACTTTTTCTTATGTAGAGGAGGCTCGGCACCTGGCAAGACACAGGAAAGCAGTAAACTGTTGGAAAATAGGAAAACGGGAGCAGGCTGTAGCAGTCATAATGCAGTTATAAGTAAATGCAGTTTTGTTTCCCAGTCATATAAACCCACCTAACATCACAGTTAGCAACAATCACCCCATACCTCTTCATTCCCCATCTCGCCTCAAACCCCTTGCACATCTTCCAAGAGATAGGGGCTATGACAAATGGCCTATTTTTCCTATTCCCCTTTCTCCATTTGAGAACTTGCAGCGTCATTTTTCTACCATCATTAGCAATGAAAGGCGCGCAGGTAAAAAACTAGAGTGTACGTAGTTCATAATGCCACTACCCAGGCTCGCAGAATCAGGGCAGACTTATGATTATCCCAGAACAGTGTTTCATTGTAAATCGGTGTTTTACTAGCTTCGCTAGTTATTGTTAAGTTCTGTGAAATAAATTGGCGCTATATAAATACAAATAATAATACTAACAGTGCATGTGTAATGTGTTCAGTTAGTCTTTGTCTCAGATGGCCTCAGCTAGCTGCCAGGCTGTCTGATGGAATTAGGATATGTACCTAGCAAGCCATGTAAGATGTTTAGCCAGCACAGTGGGAGGTGGGACTGAGTCAAGTAAGATGGTCATGGAGACCCATGGAATTGCAAGAGCTGGCTCTGACCATTTCCCTACTGTAATTACTGTACCTGCAGTCTCCTCCCTGTATTATGCAAATAGGTGTGTTTAATGCCGGTAAATGTAGAAAAAGTTGTGTGCTTTTACAATAATGCAGTTAATCTGAGTTTGATTTTGCATAAAGAAGAAGCTTGCTTGTATCTTTCTTTGCTGTAACTTTCTATCTCTGCCTGCTATAGTGCGTTTGCTCATATGAGAATCGCTAGTGTTTTTTTAGTTAGAAAGAATATCCTGTTATACTCTGCAGAGTATCCTGATTTGCCAGGGGATTAGCGACTCAAATACAAGAATCCTAGCACTCAGCGAGCAGAAGTTTGCACAGGCAATACAAGGTCTGAACTGTTACGCCTTCGGTAACAGAGATACCAGGACCGTACCACTAACAACTGGATTGTCAGTGAGGAGAGACGCTGTGTTTGCTAGCAGGAAAAGTACAGACTGATGCAAAGAATTGCCTAGGAGATACTAAGCCTCAAGTGGTCCACCATCAGGGCCAGAGATGCCAGGGCCGTATTGTCACAGAGGCCTACACACAGGTTTCAGTCAGTTTAAAGAACAATTGTACGAAAACAATAAAAATAAAGAAAATATAATGCATTTATTATTTTTTTTTACAAAACAATGAACTAGATTATTTACACAATTTTGTTTTTTGCAAAGGTAAGATAAAAATCCATGAACACAAATAAGTAAGAAAGTGTAGCTTCATATACTATAAATGGTACAGCAGTAGGCATAAAATTTGATACATTTTTGGGCAATTAAATAATGTACAGGGCAATTCAATAGTTTAATAATATTTACAAACTGATAACACTGTGAACAAATTCATACACTACGGATTCATTCACAAATGTCGCATTATTTGTATAGCTATATTCGGACATGGATACTTAACACACACATATATGTGTGTGTATATATGTATAAAATGCTAGGGGGCATTCACATTTGTAATGCTATAATGTTTATTGAGCTTTTAACTTATACTTGAAATCAGCATCATGCGTTGGCTGTAAAATCCCGAGCCCTGCGCGAGATTGATCTAATGGTGGAATTTTTCCATTTTTGTCAACAAGTTCAATATCAAAGTAAGCAATCAATAGAGAAACAAATTCCTTAATCTCATACACAGCCAAATGTCTGCCTGGGCACTTAGTTTTCCCAGTTCCAAATGGCAAATAATAATATTTTAATTTTCTTCCATTCAGTTGAAAGTCAGTCTTTTCTTTTAAATTTTCATCAATGTAACGATCATATTTGAAAGTCTGGAAAATAAAGCAGAAAAACGTGCATATAAATGTAGTGCTCACTAGAAATGTTGCTTACATTACATGCAAGAGTTAGTAATAAATGAAATAAAAATGTGCCAAGATCAGTGGTATCTTAATATATTATAATTATAATTGAATAGGAAATTAGACAAAAAACAAGAGAGAAAAACTGATATTACATACGAGAGGGTCTTCATAAACGTCTGGATCCAAATGTACCATCTGTGGATAAAATGCTACAATATCATCTTTCCGGATCTTGTAACAATCATTTTTGTCAAGTTGCAGAGTGAAGTTTTCCTTGGTAACTCTGATATTGAGTGATGCACTAGATAGCCTCATGGATTCTTTAATGATGCTGTCTGTATGAATAAACACATTATATTGACTAGTTGTTTAATTGGTCAATCCATATTATATTTCCTTCCATCTACAATAAGTGTTATATATTGGATCATATTCTTTAAAATTTGTTTACAGTACTGTATTTGTAGGGTTCCGTACTATGTACAAACATATCGTTTAAAAATAAGCATGCTAGCAAAACACCAAATCCTTTAATTGTTTCATATGTAGTACTTGCAACGTTTCTATGTGGCAAACAGACCAGGGGCTTTAACTCAAGATTACCTGTTATGGCTCCTTTCTTATTTATTGACTGAAACTCTTCTGAAAACACCACCCTATGGCATTTCCCTATGTCGAACCCTAAATCCTAACATGTTCTTTAACATATTGACACCAATTTTCTGAATAAATTAGGAGTAAGAAATAAACCTATATTTTAACTTCACACTGTTGTGTTCCTCAAGCCACAGTGCTCTAAACTATGTTTAGTACCCCCACACTATACTATAAATATGGTGAATCAACGTGGCACTGTCATTAAAGGCACACTATGTCACCTGAACAACTTTAGCTTAATGAAGCAGTTTTGGTGTATAAAACATGCCCCTGCAGCCTTACTGCTCAATCCTCTACCATTTAGGAGTTAAATCCCTTTGTTTATGAACCCTAGTCACACCTCCCTGCATGTGACTTGCACACCCTTCCATTAACACTTCATGTAAAGAGAGCCCTATTTAGGCTTACTTTATTGCAAGTTCTGTTTAAATCAAATTTTCTTATCCCCTGCTATGTTAATAGCTTGCTAGACCCTGCAAGAGCCTCCTGTATGTGATTAAAGTTCAATTTAGAGATTGAGATACAATTATTTAAGGTAAATTACATCTGTTTGAAAATGAAACCATTTTTTTTTTTATGCAGGCTCTGTCAATCATATCCAGGGGAGGTGTGGCTAGGGCTGCATAAACAGAAACAAAGTGATTTAACTCCTAAATGACAGTGAAATTGAGCAGTGAAATTGCAGGGGAATGATCTATACACTAAAACTGCTTTATTTAGCTAAAGTAATTTAGGTGACTATAGTGTTCCTTTAATTCTGTAATGAGAGGTGTTATTTCTTACTCAGTATTACAGGGACTCAAGGCTAACCATGAAATGGTGCCAGATTTAGAGGAAGGCTTTTTAGGGCCCCACTCAAGGCTCCAGACCCTGTCAGCCCTGCCCTAGCATCATTCCATAACGGTATACTGTGGCATGATATAACTGAAGCCCAAAAAACAACAATAAACCTAAAAGGAAATCTCAGTAGATTATTTGATATAATATGTCAATATATGCATTATATCTTATTCAGTAAGACTCTACAGAAGTAGCATGTAAATCATGCCTAGTTGATACCTTCACAACCAACGTAAACCATGTTGGTAAAATTTTAAGTAGCTTTAAATTCATGAGACTTTTCTATTGAGGTGTCACCTCTGGAATTTTCATTACCACTCTGTGATTCCTAAATGTCTTCCACTGCTCTCATCCTCAATATATCCTCAATGGGATCTTCTCACTTATGTACAAAAAATTTACGTAGCCATAAATGACTGAGATGATTTATAGAAGTGCTGGTTAAACCTTTCCTTTCATTTCCTCAAAGGATATCTATTATACTTACAATAGTCCCTCCGGAATTACAATTTTTAAACGTAACAAAAACAAACAAAACAACAACAAAAAATTAAATAAAAAGGGAAATGGGGCCTGACCGCCGAGTTGAGAGCACGCAGGGTAAAGCAGCTCCTGCTCGCTAAGGCAAACTCGACTGGTTAACAGACATAAAACAACCTTCAAACGACTTAAATGGGCCACCAACTGAGCGATGACACCATGGAGCACACGCCGACACCAAACAAGCAACAAAGCCTGCAAGACTCACCTAAGCGACAGCCACGGCCTACCGTCATGGGCGGCACGGGGGAGATGGACGCTCCCCGGCTGCCATCAATAGCAGCAATCCTGACTACAGGACCGGTGGGGGTTATGCCGGTCCCAGGGGGTTAATCCAGGTGGTGGGATGGCACCCCGGGCAGCAACAGGCTAACCCCCAAATGGCGGCATCTGACAACCGATACACAAAAGGGCTAGACTTTCGGACACGGCAGGAAGCCATAGTCGCAGCCTTCAGGGAGAAAGTGGACCGTAGGATGCAGCAAACACCCACTTACCCCCGAAGGAAGCACTACTTCTTGATGATGCACACGCACTACCAACCCAGAGACACTCTTCACCACAACAAGCAAACCTGAAAATGGCGCCGCAAGATCGGCACCTACCCGCAGCATGCAAAGCGGTATGTCCGCACCCGGCAGCAGCAGTCTCCCAACGCAAGAATATGCTGATGATGATCAAGCCTGAGCCACCCACCACAACCTGACATGAGGTCTCTGAGGAATCAGCATTCCACCCTGCAGTGTTGCCTAGCACCCACATGAGCGCCCAGTAGACAACTATAAATGGGACTCACACCACCGGCCTTTCTCTCAATAAAGGGATCTCCACTACCCCAACAGGGCATTGGCTGATCTTGGCACGTTGCTGTGGACACTATTTCAGGCACAGAACTCCTGGCAAGACTTCCCCGTCAACATCCAGTGCCAGCTGTAGAGGAAAGACAATTGATGTCTATTTGATTTTATCTCCTCTACAGTTACCAACTAGCTTTAAACCCCAGATGACAAGACATGGCTACTTATGCAGGGAGGACGCCCACCTGATCACCTTAGCTTTGTACTGTGCTTTCATATGTTTAGCTGATCTCACTCAGCACGCTTAGCTTGCGCATTGACTAATGTTTAACATGCTACGCTAAAGTAACTCACTACTAATCATAGGCATAGTGCCCCTACTCTCACTCTGTCTATGCAACCAGCACCTAAGTCTCAACCCTAGCCTGTACACCTTCTATGAGCCAGCACTAGTACTGTGTTTTTCTTGCTTGAGTAATTAATCTATGTACCTAGCATGTACCATATTATTAGCCTGTTTAAAATATAAAATTGTGCATATTACTCAGTTTACCCCAAATGTAAAGCATGTTCATAAGCCTGAGGATTGCCGTTGGGGTACCTCAGGCTTGTTGTAATTTTCTCATGCACTACAAAAATACTAAATATTTTTTTTTTTAAAGTCGTTTTGAATCAAGAATGTGTTTAGCAAATATTGCCAAATAACTGGTTTTGTTGAATGAGTTCCATTTAATGTCTAAACAATGTTACATTTCTGCAATAGGTTCTGTGTTTCTGAAAAGAACCAGTTTTTGGTAAAATAGTTTTCAGACATATTAAAATACACATCTAGATTTTTTTTAATAGTCTACTTCTCACACTTACCTAGAACAGGCATATCATCAAGGTGTTGAAGGGAGAGAGTAATTAATTTTCCATCAAGGCTGGGTTTCTGTGAAGCTTTCTCTAAGGTGCGATGGACTTCATCACTAGCAGCTTTCAATGCTTTTGGGCACCTATAAAAAAAAAAAAAAATCAAACAGATATAATAAACAAATCTTTTAAATAAAATAGCATTTTTTCAGTCTATTATTCTCAGTTCTATTGCAGGTAGCACAAAATATAGTTACATTTCCCAAAAATGATGCCCATACTAAATAAGATAGCTTTGTACATACTTTCGTTTTGTCCAGGTGCACATTTTGAAATAATAAAGTTTGAGCAGCCTGATAGACTAGCAAAACACAACACTTCACAATATAATGTTATCTTTGGCTTCTTTGCTTGTTTGTTTTTACCTGAGAAGATGGAATACAGTCCAAAACGTAGCAGGTAATGTGTTTGCTAGAGAAGCCCATAGGAGAGCCAATTGTATCTTTGATTTGTCATTGTCATTTAAATGTGTGATACAATCATTTAAGAACATCCTTAGTGATACAATCTCTGAGATATTGTCCCTCTTTTTCAGTTTGTCATGCAGCAGGTCTTTGGCAAGTTTCTCTCTAGCACTGTGGGCATTTTTGAATATGTGAATTGGGATACCAGCTACTAGGGCAGGGAATATCTTGTCAAACTCTTTGAAGTTTTCAATGGCATTGAGAATGAGTGCATTTTCTGCTTCCTGTCTTGCATTACTTGGATCCTGTTTAGAATTCAACTCTTTTCCAAAAAGACTTAAGTAACTAGATTCGAACATCAGGCGGTAGCAGAATCCATAGAGGCCTTCACTTATCCAGTCTTTGCTGGTGGCTTTGGCTGTGTAGTGTTGCAACATAGTGTGTTGAAGAGTCTCCATCATGGTTGTGACAAGAGGTTCAAGGGCTTCACCTTGCATTGCCCGCATAAATTTTTCATGCATGTCTTCAGTTGCCGAACTCTCACTAGGATCCACATTACTGTGTCCAAATACCTGAAAAGCACATAACATATTTTCATGAATGAATGCCAATTAATGTAAATTACACTAAATATGTTTAGCAAACCTCACTATACATTTATTGTAGTCACTAATTACGATAAAATAATCTGTCCATCATTTCAAGTTTAAGAAGATCTCAAATTCATACCTTGGCTGAGGTTGCATAATGAAATTTCTGCCAATCGTAATGTCTTCCTGAACGTAGTACTGAGCTGAATGAGAATGGATCTGTGACAAAATGAATAAAGTTCCCAGCAATTTTGCAAGTGAAAATGTGACCATGTTTCTTTTCCCTTGACCGGAGAAATTCAAGAGGATTAGCACCATATTGTAAAGCACATCCAACATAAGGGATTAACCCATTTTCCAGTGGTGGCTCTCCTGGTTCCCTAGATAGCAAACAAAATAACATTTACAATATGTATGGGTAAAGTATTCAAACCAAAAGTCGAAAATTGTTTTGTTTTTTCATTTTTTGTTGAAGTTCTCTTTTTTTTTTTTAAATTAGCACTCAATAGTAAATTAAAGAAGGCAGGAAAAACAGCTCTTGGTAAAAACAATAGTTACTTTGGAAACATTTCGTTCACAAGCATTTTGGTGAATTTTGTAAAATATATTTATTCAAAATGTATTACATATACATGGATCATAACAAATGTACATATAGCCATAATAATTAATTTTTACACTATTTACGAGGTACAATGTCAACCAATATAAAATCAAATTGCCTAGCACAGAAAAAAAAGCGCCATACCTTTTTCGGATGCCAACAACAAGCCAGAAAAAGCAACACAATGCAACTACCAGTCCCCATATCAGTGATATAGTAATCATTTTTCCTGGGATACTGTTATACTAGAATATAATAAAGGAGCACACTATCAGCCCAAAGCCAAGAGCAATGCTAGGCTGAAAGGCACAATATGAAGCTTTTATACATTCACAGTGAAAAGGGGACGAATAGTAAATGAACTATAGTAACCACGAAAAGCTATTAATTAATCTTTTTTCCATTAAGGGAATTTCTTTAACTAAGCCTATCCAGTAATTTATCTAAAACAAAAATGGCTCATTATGATAAAAGATAATGTGAAGGTCTGTAAGGCGTGTACAGATCTTGCATGCAACTTCACTAGCTGTTAACTAGAGTTCAAACATGACGGTTACTCGAGAGCATGTTCTACAATAAAGGCCAGCACAGATTATAAACAGTATTAAGATTAAAAGTCATGCAGACATGTCCATAGACCCAACTCAGAATGCTTCTATGCAGCAAATGTGTGAGCAAGTTGCTACAATCCTAATCAAAACAGGTTCAGGAAATTTACAGCTCATTGTTTGTCTTGAGATTTGCCTAATATGGCACAGGTGGCGTTGCCATTGACATCAGAAAAAACACTGATCTTGAGTTGAAGTTACCATATCTTAGGTTATGATGGGCGACCTCACTGCACATACCCCCCCCCCTCCCCCCAAGTTATACTAGGGCAATTTTAAGTAAATGCTCAAGATGATAATATTCACTCTGAAATTATCACATTTTGGGTTTCCTTAGGTTTTAGTGTACAAACATATGTTAAAAGGGATACACATAAAACAGTTTTACTATTTATTTATTTATTTATTTATTTTTTGCCTAAGTACTGCTAATAGGCACTTTGTTTCTTGCTTAAAAAAACCAAACAAACATATTACCTTCTAAATGAAACCTATGTAAAACATGAATAACATGTTGAAAAAAATGCTATATCACAAGCTATACCCCTTTCCAATATAGCACATTTCATAAGTTTCAATAGAAACTGGACTCTGGAATAGACTATAATAGAATGAGTCTATTGTCTCAGTATGAAACATTCTTACATTATTCTAACCTGATGCCAATTTTATTTTGTTACTTCTTTTTTGTTTACGAGGAAGCACTGTTTAAGGTGTGAAATTCATTTTGTTAGATATTTGTGTTGTGTCCCCTTTTCTTTATTGCTGTTTTGGTGATGCATCACATGGATATTTTGTTTTGTAATAGGACCTAGAAAAAAATGTAAATTTTTATCCCAAGTGCTGCATGCATGACGTGGATTTGCCTGCTCAATGTGCCTTCTACATTTAAGCTTATTTTGGACTAATGTCAAGTTCAAATTGCAGATCTATAAGGTAAGTGGATTTTTTTATTACCATGGGTTTTTTTGTGCTTAGTTTATATATGTCATACAGGGTAGGCCTCAGGCCAGTCTGAAAAGAGATCAATGCACACCAACACATATTCATACACTCCTACCTTAGGTAGTTGAATATAGTCTATCTGCAGTCTTTGAAACGGGTAAAGTGGCCTTGGTGTGTGCTTACTTAGTGTTTTGACAGCCTGTCCTGGATTGTTTCTAGCACAAATCATGCAAGCTTGGGTGTGTTTAGCAGCTACAACAGTAAATCCGGGTGCTACCCAATGGGTGTTTACTATGCTGTTCATGTGCATCTTGGATAGATGTATAGGTCCATGGGCAATCTGGGTCATCATGGGGTACAACACTCGTGGCAAACACAGTCTTTTACCTTTCCTCCACATTCTGTCATCATCAGGTTCTGCATCTTGTTTCCTCCAGAGGTCATGTTCTTCCTTGCTTGCCTGTCTTTGTAAGCTCAACAGTATATTGTAGTCAATGGCGTCATCTGTAAGAACAACTTGTAGGAAGGTATTACCTGTAGAGGGATGAACTTGGATTGCTGCTTGCTTGGCAGCTTCGTCTGCTTTGTGGTTTCCTCTTGAGATCACATCTGTGATCTTCACGTGAGCTGCCACCTTGATGATGCCTACTTGAGTGGGTGACAGGATAGCATCCATAAGTGCACTCACGGCTTCAGAGTTCTTGATTGGAGTTCCTGCTGAGGTGAGAAAATCACGAGCCCGCCATATAGGGCCAAAATCATGGGCTATACCAAAAGCATAGCGAGAGTCTGTATAAATATTAGCAGTCTTACCAGAAGCCATTTTACACGCTTCAGCGAGTGCCTTCAGCTCTGCCTCCTGTGCAGAGCAGTGAGGAGCGAGTGGTTCAGCTTTTATTACCTCATGTGCAGAGACTACAGCATATCCAGTGTGGAAATTACCCTTCTCATCAGCATATCTGGAACCATCTACAAAAAACTCAAAATCTGCATTATATAATGGAGAATCAATTACATGCAAAAAACCTGCTGTTTCCTGTGCCATTAGTGCTGCACAATCACAGGGTACCTGGGCATCAGCTAACTCATCTGGTGAAAGTGAATTTACAAAAAGATCAGAAGTACAAGTACCATTCCCACTATCCCCACTCCCCACTTTTAAATCCAGGGGAAGCAATGTAGATTTAACACCATACACCTTTTAAGAGTGACACTAGGTGGCATAAGCAAGGCACATTGCATTCTGAGATGCCTTGCAGTATGTATGTGTTTTGGTTGAACTTGTGAGAGTATGCTGTTGATAACATGCGGTGTGTATATGGTCGCCGGATTATCTAAAAACAATATCAGTGGCTTTGTCCAGGAGGGCAGTAAAAGCCGCCACTGCCCTAACACATGAGGGAGCACCCCTGGCAACAGGGTCCAATCTGGTGGAGTAGTAAGCTATTGGTCTTTGTTTACCATGGTCCTGTGTAAAGACAGATGTAGCATAACCTGATAGCATAACCTGATTGCTCAGTACAGAACAGGTTAAAATTCTGGGAGACCCAGGGCTGGAGCTGACGTTACCAGTAACTTAAGGGTATAGAAGGCATTTTCTGCTGCATTGGTTAATTTAAATGTTTTGTTTTCGTTGGCAAGACAATCATACAGTGGTTGCATGTAGATAGCTACGGAACGCAGTCAAGGACGGCTGTAAGATATCAAACTGAGGAATGTACAAAGCTGGGCTAGACTGCGGGGGGATCTAATATTTTGAGCTGCAGTCTTTCTACTTTCCGTGAGATGTTTGATGCCCTGGGAAATGCAATGTCCTAGGAAAATAACTTTCTCTACACATGCTTGCAGTTTTGTTTTTGTCGCTTTACAGCCTGCTTTTGCCAGGAACTTCAGCAAGGAAAAAGTGTTTACAATACAAGATTCCATATTATCACAACATAAGAGTAGATCATCGATATACTGCAATAAAATCACGTTATTTGGCCTTTCCCACTCTGGGAAAGCCATGCTGTACATAGTGGGTGAGTTTTGTGCGCCATGTGGTAATACTGTCCATGTGTACTGCTTGTGTTTATGTGTAAATGCAAATAAAAACAGACTGTCGGGATCCAGGGGGACACTGAAAAATGCATTTGCCAAGTCAAAAACAGTAAATACCTTAGAGAAAGGTGGTATTTGTGCTAACAAGGTGTGTGGGTTGGGAACATTAGGGGCAATGAGTTCAGTTACAGCATTAATTACCCTCAAATCATTTACCATACGGTAGACCACAGGTTTCCTTTTCTCTTGCTTTTTCTTAATTGGGTACAATGGTGTGTTACAAGGGGAGGTGGTCTAGACAACTACCCCTACCTGCAGAAACTCTTGCACAGATTGCGAAATAGCATCTTCCTGTGCTGGGCTTAGGGGGTATTGTTTTTGATAGGGAGGTTTGGCTCCGGGCAGGAGATTCACTTTGACTGGGGGCACAGAGAGCAGGGCCGGACTGGCCCACCGGGATACCGGGAAATTTCCCGGTGGGCTGTGGCATCTGGGGGCTGCGCTGAGTATGTGTGTGCCACCGGGTGGCCGGTCCGGTGGCACACTCTCTGAGGGGACCGGTGGGCTGGCGGCTGCATTCCACTCTGGAGCCGCCGGGCCGGGTGGCAGCCTCACCGGTCCGGCGGCACTTCTCCTGTCACTGATGGCTGAGGAGTGAAGGAGGAGGAGGGAGGAGCCTGTCTCTGTACCATGCTCCCTCGCGGTTCCCATAATCCCCAGCACAGGAACCGCGAGGGAGCATGGTACAGAGACAGGCTCCTCCCTCCTCCTCCTTCACTCCTCAGCCATCAGTGACAGGAGAAGTGCCGCCGGACCGGTGAGGCTGCCACCCGGCCCGGCGGCTCCAGAGTGGAATGCAGCTGGCCCCCCTGACTCCTCTCAGGTAAATGGGAGGGGGAAGATGGGGAATAAAGAGACACAAGGGGAGGGGGGAAATAAAATAGAGGGGGAAAGAGACAAAGGGGAGAGATATGTGAGGGAGAGACAGGGAAAGGGTGGGAGAAAGAGACGGTGAAAGGATAGAGACACACAAGGTGAGGGGGAGAAAGAGACAGGGGGAAAGGATAGAGACACACAAGGAGAGGGGAGAAAAGAGACAGGGGAAAAGGATAGAGACCCACAAGGGAGGGAAAAGAGACAGAGGGGAAAGGATAGAGACACACAAAGGGAGGGGAGAAAGAGACAGGGGAAAGGATAGAGACACACAAGGGGAGGGGGAGAAAGAGACAGGGGGAAAGGATAGAGAGACACACAAGGGGAGGGAGAAAGAGACAGAGGGGAAAGGAGAGAACAGGGGAGGGAGAAAAAGCAGAGGGGAAGGAGAGAGACGCACAAAGGGGAGGGGGAGAAAGAGGCAGAGGGGAAGGAGAGAGGAGCACAAGGGAGGGAGAAAGAGGCAGAGGGAAAGGAGAGAGCCTTACGAGGGGAGGGAGAAAGAGGCAGAGGGGGAAAGGAGAGAGAGGCACAAGGGGAGGGGGAGAAAGAGGCAGAGGGGGAAAGGAGAGAGACGCACAAGGGGAGGGGGAGAAAGAGGCAGAGGGGGAATAGAGAGACTGGAAAGGAGAGGGGAGACATGGACACAGAGGAGCAGTGAAGGGGAGAAAGAAACATACAGAGTGACTGGGGGAGACAAAAAGGCACACAGAGGGGCTGGAGATAAAGAGACACACATAGGGGCTGTATATATCACTGGTGGATTGGGGGGGGAGGCAACAGGGCACACGAGGCTCTCCCCTGCCAGCCGATCTCCCTCCACGTTCCACAGGCACCGTGCGGCACACACTGCCCCCCATACACACACTGCCCCCACACACACCATACATATTCACACTCTGCCCCCCATACACACATTGCCCCACACACCCTACACATTCACACACTACACCCCCCTCACACACATACACTGAACCTTTCACACACACTGCACCCCTCACACATTGCACCACTGCTCCTATACCCTACTACAGCCCCATATCCCAGCAGACCCCAGATAAGTTGTCAAACTGTTAAACGGATTGACTACTTACTCTGGGAGGGGGTCCCGGCACTCCTGGCACCATAACCACTACTCAGAGCAGTAGTGGTTATTGTGCATGGATTATTTTTTTGCCCCTCCCGGGATCAGGCTATAGATCCACCACTGGTATATGACATGTATATTAATGTGTATTAGTTTTATTTATATATATATATGTATACCTATTATATTTACACATATATTAATGTACATTTATATATGCATAATACACAGATAAATGTCATTAATATGTACCATTTGTAATGAGCAGATATTGTCCCAGTCTTGTTGCTAGATGCAGACTCCATCACAATAACATATTTAAAGTGAAGAGCGCACCCACAGGACTTCAAAATAAACAAGATAACGTCATTTTTTTACAGTTGTGCCCTACAAACATTCACCATTTCAGTCCCATTACCAAGCCTTCCTTAATATGTCAAGGTAGTTGGACTGAAACATTGATTACGTGCAAAGGCACGTCTGCTTAAAATAAATCTGCACTTTTGTTTATTTTGAAGCCTATGAGTGCTTTTTTTTACATTGGAGTAATAATTTTTAATTTTAAATTCTCTTTTCTAACTCTGTATCTGCACACTATGCTGGCGCGACGCATTATGGGGCTGGTAAATATTTTGTATTTCTGTATGTTTAGCAATTATTCTAGCCCAAATGGGGCCAGCTTTTAGTGCCACAATCTGTTTTAAATCCATCCAAGTACACTGGTAAGTAGCTTGAATTGTGGATAGAGACTGGACTAGAGCTAAGGTGGCCTTTTCAACATCTGCCAGCTGCTCTATTATTGCCAGTTGTTCACTGGGTGTCCAGGGCTTATATTCTTCCCAGTATTGGATACCTGAGCACGGCTGTCTGTGCTCATGGTATACGCCCTCAACTTTGGGTATAATGGGAGTAGAAACTTGTGGAGCTAATGGCCCCACTGGGGTGTCTATGGGGGCAACTAGGGGTTCTTTTAAGTCTGGACTACCTTCCTGCTCTAATGAACCCATAGGTCTTATTGGGACACCATATGAAGTCCCACTGCGTAATATTACTGGAAAGAGAGGTTTTGATCTCCGTAAAAGGGAAATCAACCTGGCCTTTTGCGACCAAAGGAGTCCCTGCAGTATCCTGGTAAAGGGGTGGGTCTACAAGATTTTTCCCAGGATCTTGCCTACAATAATATGGTACACCTTTCCTGGTGGTTTCTCTACAACCACATTTAGTTAATTCAACAGCAGTATCATGCCATTTTTGTGCGACTTCTACTAAGTCATTATCTTCTAACCAACCTCTGTAATTTGCCATAAATTCACTCCATATATGTGGGTCTAGAGTGCCTTCTGATGGCATGCCAGCTTTCTTAAGTAACCTCTTAACATTCTTAATTGCTCCTTGTCCTTTGTGATGCTTGACAATAGTCAAAGCCGTAAATCCCCCTTGGGCACTTTCAGAGCTACCCATCTTAAAACTTGTAAAGGTTACACAAGACAAACTGTACAAAAACAGTGTATTTACACTTAGGACCATTGCAGTGGAATTTTCCCAGTTTTGTCTTCTAAACACAGATCAGGAGATCTGCCATTAGAGGATTCTAACTCAAATTATAAAACAAATGACAAGGCAAACAATAAAAAATAACTTACAACCCACAGTTATATTCCACTATCTCAAGATTCCTTTCACAAGACATAACACAACCTCCACCTGAATATAACCATAATACCACAGAAAACAAGTTCTTTAAATCAGACGTTTTTAAGTCGTTCTTTACCCAGACAGACTAGTAGGATGTGGATCTGAGAGCGAAATTGATCAAGGTAGAAAAAAAGTTTCTTACCTTGCTGTACAGCTGATTTCACTGTCAGAGGGACGTCCACCTGTACGCTAGTGTCCGAGTCTCTCGACCGTCAGATCCCGGGTTTTGGCACCAAATTGTTGTGGATCAGAAATGTTGATTTTTGTTATATTCAGAGGAAGCCCAAATTGTTGTTACAAGTGCACTTGGAAAAGCGAGAATTAGACACCAGACACCTGTTGGTATTCAAAATAAGCCTCTGACGTTTTATTCATCAGCTGGGTTTTATACATTAAAAAGTAAGTGCTTATGTGCAAATACTCTTAGAACAGTAATAGGAAGAGAGTACAGATAAGACATAGGGATGAGCATCATGTACACATAGCAAATAAGTTTCAAGGTAAGAGAGAACAAAAAGATTAGAGCAGAGACATCTTAGGTGGGGGCTCTCTGCTCCCGGAACTTAGACATATATAGTCTTAAGTGTTGTTTAAGCATCAAGCATTTCCTGAGTCTAAGTTAGCCAATTTTAATATAGGATATCATTATATGACACCTATAAGCTTGAGCCTTGGAATCAAGATAAATTCTATCACAGTTACTTGATTGTTGTAAGTGTTGCAAACGCTTACAGCTGAATCCTGGCTATGTTTGTGTCACTGTAGTTTACCCCAACATGCAAGATTTAGTCCAACAATCGACAGATAGAGCAGATACATCTTACCGGACCTTAGAATGGCCGGACTCGCCGTATAGCAGACAATAGACAGAGTCAAGAACGAGCCGAGGTCAAGGGAACAAAGAGACTGCGAGAACAAAAACTAGCCAAGGTCTGGTACACAGTAGTCAGTAAGCCGGCAAACAAGACAAAACAGAGATAGAGAGATAAACGAAGTAAGATACAAAGCCGTACCTCCGTTGAAGGATGCTCCTAGACCAAATCATGTCTTTAAAGGGCAATACATCCTAGGGGCCATAGTCACATGGCAGGAGGCTGGCAATCAGTCTTCTCCAATGCCCAGTGGCAAAGTCAGTTTCGCCACACAAACCTTTACTTTGATTGGCCCCTGTCATATCCACGCCCCCAAAATGTGAGTGTACGGGGAATGTGGGATGACAGGGGCCAATGGGAGACTGTTGTATTTTTTTGGCTCCCACTGCCCCTTTAAGAGCGTGCCTGAGACGCGTGGCACGCTCTTAGAGCTAGAAGGGACACGTGACCGAATCTCGCGGACCGTGCCCGCCTTCATCCGAGAGCCGCGCGCGGCGGGAAGAGAGGACCTCGACCGGCCCCCGGGTAAGGTAATTACCGCTACAGTACCCCCGCTGAAGACACGCCTACCGGGCGGGGAGGACCAGGCCTGGCAGGAAAACGAGAATGGAAGGAACGCACAAGTCGAGGAGCATGAACAGCATCAGCGGAAAGCCAACTGCGTTCCTCAGGCCCATAACCCTTCCAATGCACCAGGTACTGGAGACGACCCCTGAGAAAATGAGAGTCAAGTACAGCAGCTACTTCGAATTCCTCATGAGCCACAGAAACAGGAAGGGGAGGAGGAACATGCCGGGTATAGCGGTTACACAGGAGGGGCTTCATATTGGCACAAGTAGTACATGCCCGAACGTAATCGGTGACATTCTTGCGTAAGGAAGCCCACCAAAAATATCTAGAAACTGCTGTTAAGGTTTTAGAAATACCAGGATGTCCAGCAGTTTTAGTGTCATGATATAGCGACATAATGTCTCGTCTTTCGGGAACGTCAACAAACAGTTTATCAGCAGGTTTCTCACTGGGTTCCATGTTTTGTTTAGCCTGTATAACTTTTAAGAGTGAAGAAGAAATAGATAGAACCGTAGTAGCTATTATTCTGTCCGGGGGAATGACAGGGGTATCGTTCAACTCTTGTTTGTCGGTAGTTTCAAATTGTCTGGACAGAGCGTCGGCTTTAGTGTTACGTTCACCTGGTCTTTAGGTGATGATATAATTGAAATGAGATAAAAACAGTGACCACCTGGCCTGCCTAGAGGACAATCTTTTGGCTTCACTAAGGTAGGAAACGTTTTTGTGATCAGTAAAAATGAGGATGGGGTCCTTAGTACCCTCTAAAAGATGTCTCCACTACTTAAGTGCTAAAACAATAGCAAGGAGTTCTCGATTGCCTATGTCATAATTCTTTTCGGCTTTGGACATCTGCTTGGAAAAGAAGGCACAAGGATGTAATGGCTTATCAGGTGATTCTCTTTGAGATAAGACAGCACCCACCCCAATATCAGAAGCATCAACTTCAAGAATATAAGGCAAAGAAGGGACAGGATGCTGTAAAATAGGAGCAGAGGCAAACACAGTCTTAAGAAATTCAAAAGCCTCAAGCGCCTCTGGGGACCAGACACGAGTATTACCATCCTTTTTAGTCATACGGGTTATAGGCGCTACAATAGAAGAAAAACCTTTAATAAAGCGTCAATAATAGTTGGAAAAACCAAGAAAACGCTGAATGGCTTTCAGGCCCTGAGGTAGAGGCCATTTCATACAAAAACCCTTAGCAGAAATTAAATAACCCAAAAACTGGACTTCGGATTGATCAAATAAACATTTTTCTAGTTTACAATAAAGACCATTAACAAGAAGGGTTTTCAAAACTGTTTTAACATGCATGTGATGAGTATGTAAATCTGTTGAATATATTAATATATCGTCCAAGTACACTATCACAAATGAGTGAATGAACTCTCTTAAGACGTCATTAATAAATTCTTGAAACACTGCTGGGGCATTACAAAGACCAAATGGCATCACAGTATACTCGTAATGACCACTCCTAGTATTGAATGCAATTTACCATTCATGGCCCTTTTTTATACGTATGAGATTGTACGCACCTCTAAGGTCCAGTTTAGTAAACACAGTAGCTTGTTTAAGCCAGTCGAATAATTCTGTGATTAATGGTATAGGGTAAGCATTCTTTATGGTGATTTTATTTAGATCCCTATAATCAATACAAGGTCTTAAATCGCCCTCCTTCTTCGACACAAAGAAGAACCCTTCCCCTGCCGGAGAAGAGGATCTCCTTATAAATCCCTTTTGTAGAGATTCTTTAATATATTCCTCCATGACAGTTTTCTTGAGGAGACAAAGGATACACCCTGCCTTTGGGAGGTATAGTGCCAGGCAATACATCAATAGCACAATCGTAGTGTCTATGAGGCGGTCATTTTTCAGCCTCCCTTTTATCGAAGACAGACTTAAGGCACATGTACTGAGGAGGTATAACAGTAGACAAAGGAGGTGTAGTAGGAACATTAATAGAATTTAAAGGGGTGATTTTAACGATACAAAACTCTTGGCAGGTTTCACTCCAAGATACTATTTGTCCTGACTCCCAGTCAAAAATGGGATTGTGAGAACGTAACCATGGGTACCCTAACACAATGTGAGAGGAAGGAGAGGTGATGACCTGAAACCGAATTGTTTCTGAGTGTAACATCCCTGTATACATATGCAACGGTTCAGTTTCATGTGTGATAACTGGAGAGCATAATGGTCTACCATCTATGGCCTCAACGGCCAAGGGTGTCTTCTTCTCTCTAATGGGTATGTTATGTTTCCTAACAAATCTAGAATCTATGAAATTCTCAGCTGCCCGGAATCAACCAGGGCTAGTATGTTTCTTGCTATGCAATTATTATCCAGATGCAGAGAAACAAGGATAAGTAGTCGATTAAGAGGCAATTTTGGGAACTTAGATATCACACCCAAGGCCAGTCCCCTATATGGCCTTAGGTGCGATAGTTTTCCGGAAGCACGGGACATTCTTTTAGCATATGGCCCTTCCTACCACAGTACAGGCAAAGTCCCTCCTTTCTCCTATACACTTTTTCAGCATCAGAGAGTTTGGCAACCCCTAATTGCATGGGTTCTTCCTCTGATACCTTGGAACTCTCAGGATTAGCAACTCTAGGAATATTTAATGTAGCAAAACGTCTATTCATATTCTTAGTGTAGAGTCTATCACGAATCCTATTGTCTATATCAATAAGATAGTCAATAAGGTCCTCTAATGGGATACGAAGATCCCTAGCTGCTACCTCATCCAATATAGTATCAGATAGACCTTCCATAAATGCTGTAGTTAGCCCATTGTTGGTCCAATCTACCTGCGAAGCAAGGGTACGAAACTGAATAGCATAATCAGCAACAGACCTAGAACCCTGTTTAATTCTCATTAATGCCCTTGCGGCATTCTTTGACCTTTTAGTTGTGTCAAAGGTTCTACGAAAAGCCGTAAGGAAGCTTTCGAAATCATGCACCATAGGTCCATTAGCCTCCCAAATAGGATTTGCCCATTCATGTGCTTTATCAGTAAGTTGGTGCATAAGGAATCCAACTTTAGATCTATCAGTGGGAAAGGAACGTGGATACATCTCAAAGTGGAATTCCACTTGATTAATAAATCCCCTGCATGTCTTAGCATCCCCTCCATACCTAGGTGCAGGGGTTAAATGTGCAGAAGCGTTAGGCATGGTGGATACATTTGGAACAAGGGGTGCAGTAGGAGTTGGTACTGTTACCGGAGTAGTTCTAGATAAGAGTGTCTGGAGGGCCTGAGCTATCTGATCCATACGGTGATCCTGCTCTGCAAATCTAGCCTCATGAGAAGCCAATTGCTGACTGAAATCTGCGGTGTCCAAGGCCCTATCGTAATGTCACTGTAGTTTACCCCAACACGCAAGATTTAGTCCAACAATCGACAGATAGAGCAGATACATCTTACCGGACCTTAGAATGGCCGGACTCACCGTATAGCAGAGAATAGACAGAGTCAAGAATGAGCCGAAGTCAAGGGAACAAAGAGACTGCAAGAACAAAAACTAGCCAAGGTCTGGTACACAGTAGTCAGTAAGCCGGCAAACAAGACAAAATAGGGATAGAGAGATAAACGAAGTCAGATACAAAGCCAAGGTCAAGCACGAAAATCACAACTGAACACAAGCGCTAAAGGGAACTGAAACAGAAACCACGATAGGGCAGGGAGTTAAGGGAGAGGTAAGTATAAATACTCTAACCTTTACTTTGATTGACCCCTGTCATATCCACGCCCCCAAAATGTGAGTGTATGGGGAATGTGGGATGACAGGGGCCAATGGGAGACTGTTGTATTTTTTGGCTCCCACTGCTCCTTTAAGAGCGTGCCCGAGACGCGCGGCATGCTCTTAGAGCTAGGCGGGACACGTGACCGCATCTCGTGGTCCATGCCCGCCTTCATCCGAGAGCCGAACGCGGCGGGAAGAGAGGACCTCGGCCGGCCCCCGGGTAAGGTAAGTACCGCTACAGTTTGTATACTTTTTATTTAACATTGTATACAATGTAACATT